TCTAAAAGCGTCTTTTCTTAAAAGGTGCCGAGCTTGTATTAGAGTAGAAGGTCGCCAATTTGAGCATATTTTATCAATAAATGAATAAATTTCTCTTCAAACGACTCATGTATATTTTATTTCACGTGAATCCATGCTTCACAAAAAATATTGATAGATATAGCCCTTGTTATAGACTCTAGTCCGAATTCCGGTAAGTAACACAAAATAATGTCAGGAGCAGGTAATAATGTACCTTTGTACTATTTAGCATGTCATTTGACGGTAACAAGAGCAAATTCAATTTAAATCTATTAAATACATTCTAGCGTGTCTCAGTCCTTTACCCACAAAAGCGGCTATAACTTTTTTTTTCTATTCAAAACAGTAAGTGTGGCACCTTTCTGAAATCTTTATTAAATGAGCAATTTTTTTATGTAATGTAAAGTTATAGCTCGGTACATTTTTTTTTCACCCGAGATAGTCAAAGTTGGGGAAGAAAATATCAAAAAGTTAAAAATCCAGAAATAGTCCTAATTTTATGATGGTTCCTTAATTTATTTTAACTACATTGCATTTGAGTATGGAGAGGCAACTATCTGGAAGTATTTTACATAAAAAATTTACTAAGTATTGCCCGGTTTGTAGTTGCAGTTAAAGAAAACACATGAAAAGGCACGATTTTTTTTAAATTCGAAAAAATGTAAATATTTCAAAAACGGTGACACTTTTACCTGAAAATTTTTTGTTTATCAGTGAGCTCACCCCCCCACCTACCTTGCCCTAAAGTTTGGCACGTTACTTCTGGGACACCCTGTATAAGTAGATTTCAGCAACCAGCATGTTTTGTTTAACATTTGGTGCGTAGGTAGGTTTTTACCTAGATTAGCATATAGGATCCTGTTTTTTGCGGTAAGTGGACCAGGAACCGATCTACTCGAAAAATCGTATTTATCGTCCGATTTTCTTAAAATTTGGTACGTAGGTTGCTTTTTACCTAGATTATGATATAGGATTCTTTTTTCCGGTAAGTGGACCAGGGGCCATTTGAAAAAATTGTATTTATGGTCAGATTTGCTTGAAGTTTAGTACGTAGGTAGCTTTTTGCCTCGATAACATATAGGATACTTTTTTCAGATAGGTGGACTCGAAAAAATCTTATTTTTGGCCCGATTTGCTTGAAATTAGCCGAAATTAGCATATAATATCTTTTTTCCGGATTTCGAAAAAATCTTCTTTATGTTCTCATTTGCTTGAAATTTGGGGCATAGGTAGCTTATTACCCAGGTTAACATATTGAATGCTTTTTTTCTGATATGTGGACCAGGGACTGATGTATTCGAAAAAATTGTACATATGGTCCGTTTTTCTTGAAATTCGGTACACGATATACTTAAAATAGAATTGAATGATTGTTTTACAGTTGGAAACGCGTTTTAAGGCGCCACAAAGCAATCGGGTATTGGCTATTTACGTATGCATATTTAATATCTATACCAATTATATAAAGAGAAGTCCCCTATTATTATAAGAGGTGATCTCGCAAACGGCTGTACCGATTTCTTTGAGATTGGCCGATAATAAATTTCGTCCCCATACAAATCGAATTTCTCATACCGCATATCTCTGGAAGTATTTGTGGTAGAGTCCTGGAACTTCATATGGTATCACTCCCATACTCATGAAGAAAAGTGGGCGTGGCACCTTCCAAATATACTGAAACTTTTACCTACCTGTAAATACATATATAATTCTTCGGTACGTGTGTTTGATTCACAACTTAAAACACCAGGTGGCTCTGGAGTCGAATTATTACCAAAAATCATATTTTTGACCCGTTTTGTCTCATAATAGAGATATATAGTTGTAAAGTAGTGGCAATAGTATTCCAAAAAAGATCAGCAAGGTAGCGCTGGAGTCGAGTTATTGCTACAAATTGTCAAGTGAAGTCATTCGGAGATACCAAGCATCAAAGTATTCAAGTTGCCATCGTTAAATCTACTACCATAACCATTGCGATCCTTGATTTACTGTGACTAAACAGAATAAAGCAATTCTTGATGAACGCCTTCAAAGAAAATTGTAAGACATTTATGATATTTCGTGTGAAGTAAATCTATTTATATTGCATTTCTGTAGACCAATGATACTCCCCCATCTTGAAATTGCCTGCAGATTCAAGGACACAGGATACGGGATACAACGATACAAGGATACAGATTCAAGGACGATTCATCATCGTACCGGATCATTGTTGCCGCAAGAACTTCTTCACGGACATAACGACTTTGTTAGATTATTTATGACGGCAATAGAGAATATGATTTCTGACGAACTCAAAACCAAACTTGAACGTGAATTTTGGTGATAACGTCGGACCAAAGGTTTCAATAAAAAAATAAATTTTTGGCGGGACGAAGTTCGCCGGGTCAGCTAGTAAATAAATAAATGATAATCAACGTGAAAAGTTCACTTTGCACTCTCAACCCCTTCTCGACAGGAGCGGAGTTATGAGTGGTAGCAGGATGACTGGCAATAACGAATTTACCTTACAGTGAACGGTATCCAATAATTATCCCGTATTCAAAATTGCGCGTAAAATTCACATCTGATTTCCGTGTATGGGGGAAACCAGCTTATGGTTAGAATTTTGCGGCCCGAATACTGGATCGTACGAATGAAAAACTTAGTTAAAAATTCCATTCACAACTGTAAGGTCTGTGTTATTTACAGAAAGAAGGCGCGGGAGCAGTTGATGGCAGCGGCCAACAGCACATCCCAGACATACACTCATCAGGGAATTACGTGGATATTTATATCTCTAGGAGCATCTCAAATTGAAGAGCTTTCTACTCTGTTGGCAAGAACCGAATCTTGTCTTAATTAACGACCAAACAGCCTCATCTCTGAAGACTGGGAATCAATGGAAACTCTAACACCAGGACTTTTCTAAATTGGCACCACGTTACTGGCAATAGCTGAACCCGAAATCAAGGAGAACCCAATATCTATTGTCAACCGGTGGCAAAATATAAAAGCGATTCACCAGATATTTTGCGAGAGGTAGAAAGCAGAATACCTCAAATAATTGCAGAAGAGAGTGAAATGGTACTCTTTCAACGAAACCTCAAAGTTGATGATCTAGTTGTTGTCAAAGAGGATAACCTTTCCCCAAATGAATGGCGACTTGGCACAGTTATTAGGTTCATTTCGGGTCAGGACAGCCGGGTACTAGTCGTAGATATACGAACGGCACGCGGAATGATAACTCGAGCAATTGTGAAATTGGTCCTCTTACCAGGTTGCTAAAACCACATAATAATCACATTTATCTTTCCAGAATTCTGTAACGAAAAATGGTACGTGCCACCAAAACAACTCCCTAAACTCACAAGGGCTAATACCGCTGCCCAGTGTGCCGCAGCAACCACCGCCTGGCCTTTTGTCGGGAGATGCGTAGGATGGAACCGGCCGAGAGACTGCGTGCTGTCCTCGTGCACAGCCACAGCGCCAACTTCCTGCCGCCGCATCGTGCGGTGAAAAATTGTGCATCCTTCGTAGCTACGAGCATGGCCGGGACCGGAAGACGTGTCGCTAGGATTGGACGAGTCAGAGACGACCATCCCGACCATGCAACATCCGGCCATTGGCCAAATCGAGCGACGAAGGCGAGGTGCTGGAGATTGACGCCGACGAGCACGACCTCAAACCCGCAGCGGATGATGTTCCCGTCTCCAACCGCCGCAACCGGAATTCAGACCTGCTCTGTCGGGTGGCCGGTGGGCAGTACAGCAAGCCCCAGCGACGAGGTCAAGCGCCGAGGCGCACCCTGACACCCACTGCGTTCCCACCAACGATCCCACTTCCGAGGTGTGAGAAACGCCCGAGAGCGGATTACGGGTACGACCGTAGCGCTCTTGGGCTCTCTGTCCTCACACCAACAGTGGCAGTTAAGGTAGGCACCCGAGGGAGGACGCAAGTAGTGCGTACCACCGTCGACCCAGCGCAGCCCAGGTAGACAATATCGTTTCAGCCGGCACGCCAACTTTCAGTTGTACCCCGAGGATATGCAGACATGTGCAGACTCACTATTCGAGAATGGCACGAGAGACTGGAGGTCTGCGCCGACGTATAACCAGGCCTCCCTCGGGTAACACCCGATCGCACGCTGGACGCAATGATCACCAGCGGGTTTGACAATTTTCGGCTCGCCTACCCGTCGTTCCGGTCCAGCGCTGTTTCACTGGTGTTAGGGGCGGAGTTATACGCTATGATTCTGCCCGGCACATGCCAGCCACCCCCACTCGACCGGCTGTACAGAACACGATGTTTGGATGGATTATCTCGGGAGGAACCATTTATTGAACATAAACGAGCTCAGTTAAGTTAAGTTGTTAAAGAAAATGAAGTACAAAAAGAATTGTAAATACTCTAGTTAAGTTTGTTGCAGCGACACTGAAAGACGGGCGGCATGGTTACGCTAGCCCCTTCACCTAAAATATGTTTATGAATTAGAGAATTTCACTAGCACATATCGATGTGATCTAAGCGCGAATAGTTACTCGTTACTCGAGATTATGGAATTTGCTACCAATTTAGGTTAAAAGCATTAAATCAGAGAGATGATTCAAAACAGCAATTACAAATCGTTTTACTTAGTAACCTATGTATCTCCCTCTCTTAACTTCCTTATCTTTAGTAATTCATTTTACCTGTTCTTATCCTTTACTAAAGATTATGATATATTGTTTGCTTAAGTCTAAAATAATTTTAATATTCGTAATTTAAATGTTAAATTTGTGCAATGAAAAGACTATATGTCTTACCATACATCTATCATAAATAAATAAAAAAAATAAAGTATATATTATTATTGGAAGTCTTCTGAAGATAACCAGAGTCTTGCGGTCAAAAAATATTAATTTTTAAGAATTCGTTACCATTTCTACGAAAAGTTGGAATGCATCTGACATAGGTATTTTTTATAAAATGAAAATAAAGTATTAAACAGACAAACTTATGTAAGTACTTAAATAAGCCATACACATATATGTATATTTGACACCCCTGATTTAGAACACCTTGTTATTTTCAGTTTACGTGTCGAAAGCTTTACCTTAAATATAAGTAATAGTTTAATATTATAATTAAAATTAATAAATAAATAAGTAATACTGACCTGTGGAGCTGTACGGTATATTTATGCATGTTCCATCACTTCCTCTAAATCTCCACTGATGGAAAGGGCATTCAATATTATCTCCCTTTACTCGCCCCCCAATTCCCATATTTGCGCCGATATGGGGACAATACGCATCCAAAACACTAACTTGGCCGTCTAGTGTTCGAAAAATTATGAAATGCTCTCCCAGACAGGAAATATAAGAAACAGTATTCGCTTCTAACATTGATGACTCCATAATGCAATACCAGCCGTTGGGAAAGGGAGGTGGTAATTCTTTTAAACCGATGGTGCGTGTTCGACGTATGTGATTAAGAACATATTGGTTTTTCGATAGTTTTTTGGGAGGGCACGATGTGCTCATAAGAGTTTCAAAGTTGGCATCCTGGAAAGACCAAGAGAAAAAATTATAATTGAGCATCTATTCTAGAGCTGAGATACTATCGATAGTAATATCGATAGTTGAAAACTGTCGCCACTATCGATAGTTTTTGAAAACTATCGATGTCGGTTTTTGCAAGACTTCACAATGTCTCTTCTTTACATCTCTACACATTACATAAATTTTTTTTATGTAAGACAATTCACAACGCAGTCGGCAAAAAAAAAAATAAGTCATTGGGATTTTTAGCAACTATAAGCTACACTGAGTTACAGTAAATTTTAATAAGCTATACAAATGATAACACTAAATTTTTATAGAAGTTCGAATTAAAAAGCTTGAATTTTTATTTAATTATATTGTAGTTTTTTATATTTTGTACAAGTTTTATAAAAAATTAGTAGACACTAAATAAACAAAAAAAGTAGTCAAAACTGCTAAAAAATGTTGTGGTGCTATTATTTTGAGCAGTACTATATTCGTTTTCTTATAAAATGGTAAAATGTTAATAATTTCCCTTGTCCGTATTTTGATATGCGCTATTTGATCTCAGTTGAAGTTTTATAAGAATGTGTTGTCAATTTAAACGAATATCTTTTATTTTGTTTGTTTTGTAGTATTATAAATGTACTTTTATAGCCAATTTCACTTTTTTGCACTTTAAAAGAGACAAACACAATCCGATCTTAATTTTGCCATATAAAAAATAGATTCAGATTTTGCCTGTCGCTATTCAGGGGGATGCAAGCAGGGGCGAACGCAGAAATTTTTCTCGGGATGGGTTTTAAAATTGTTATTACTATTTTTTTTTCATTTAATCAGTTGCACCAAATATGCGTTTCGGTGGTACAAAATGTCTATATTTTTTTCAATAAATTCGAGTTATTACATATGTATGCATGAAAAATGTGAAATAGCATTTCTCTACTGCTTCGACTTAAAAGAAAACATTGTAATCAGTACTTCATTATTCGCAACTTCTATATTTCTGTGGATGCTAAGTAAAGCTTAGTTAAGCTAATCTTTGTTATCCAGTTTTACTTCGTAAATATGATTCTAGCTTAAGAAGGAGCGTTCACTGGAAATAAGTGTCACAGGAAGTGTTGGCCCTATCTGCAAGAATCGGTATACCTTTAGGTACAGTGATTGATTGCTAACATCAGGCGCGTCTAGGAATGGTGTTGGACTATGCTCCGTAGGTACATTGAAAACATAATAAGGATATTCATCAAACCTTATAAACCGTATAAAATTATAATTGTGTAAACTTTGTTAATCAACTGTCAAAATTTGTATGGAAACTCGTTTACACATTTCAAATAAATTTCTACAACGATATCACTGAATAATCTTGATAAACTGAAGACAATGTAACTCTGTCGCAAGTGTATACAAAAAGAGAGTATGGGGCGTTCATGTAACAGAGCTCTTACATTTATAAGAATATCTGCTTTATAAAGCTATCGGTTTAGATGAATACCGCTAATATTAATTTAAATATTACCATGGCATTTGAATTTAAATGTAGAAAATGACCTTTGACACATTTTAACACATGATAATTGAAATGTCAAATTACGTTTAGTAGAAAGCGGAAATGTAAAAGCAGCATCCGGTGCCCACGGGCATTCAAGGAGCTCATAATTCTCGTTATCGCTTAGTTTACGGTGACCAAAATTTTACGCATCATTAAGCGGAACCTGCAAGGACGTGGATATATAAATTCGGTAGCAGAGAACTTAAAACTTGATTTTCCTGACGCATATTGAAAACAATGAGGGTGTTGATTTTTTAAACTTAGGGAAGCGACCATTTTTGGGCCTTAATCAAACTACGCCTGAACGTTAATATTCATACATGCTAGTAAAATTCCGATAAGATTTTCTCTATCTCATCATTACGTCCTGAGAACTGTGGGACTCGGGTAACTTATAGCCCACTTTCACCAAGAACTGTTTTAATTTCCTTTTCCCATAAGCATTAACTGCACTTAAGGCGTGGTGGAAATGAACTCTTACTCTGGAATCAGCTGCACCAAGTTTCCCAGCGCCGGAGCGTATTCATTTTTTCCGTACTTGACACTCGTCAGATGAATTTTCTGCTGTTTGTGAAAATTCGGCAGCCGGAGGGGCAGAAGTTTTCAGTTTAAAATAGTTCGTTATTTTTACAGAATGCATTCGGTACGTAGCACTTTTTGCTCTGGTGATTCAGCGAAAATACACTTTTTCTCCCAAATAGATATGTAAATTAATTCCAATTACTTTTCCCCTTTCGAAAGCTTCGAAAACCTTAAAACGCAAACCAAAATGTGCATATAGTATATATGTAGTACTTTTAGGGATTATGTAAAGTATGTATGTATATAAAGTGGTTTTACCAGAGCATCTAGACGGAGAGCTCATGCCCAAAAAACCCATCATTCCTCAGATCGATATATATAAATGTGAATGTCTGTTTGTTTATTACCTTATAACTTTTGAGCCACGACACGGAATCGCACGAAACTTGGCAGACTTATTTGTTTTTACCCCGGGAAGGTTATAGGTATGGTCTTATTTGAAAATATGTCGTAAATTTTGCAAGGGGGCGTGGCACCGCCAATAGACCCGCAAATGTTTAATCAGCTAAAACTTCGGAACCATAAGTCGAAAGAATTTGCAATTTGGTACGAAGACATATGTATCTACGGGAGGCGCGGTTATTTTAAGGTATATATAAAAGAGAGCGTAGCACATGAACTTGAAATTTGGTATGCAAACATATCTATGGTAGGTGCTTATAGTAAGGTATATATAAATGAGTTTGTAAAAGGGGGCGTAGCACATAACATGGGCGTGGAAGTTCTTATCAGCCATAACTTGGGAATCACAAATCACATGACCCCTTTAATCCTTCTGATATGCCTTTAGAATTTAAAAAACTTCAGTTTCCAGTTCACTTAGCTTTTGCAATGACAATAAAAAAGGATGCCTTAAAATAAAACCAACTCTTTACCGAAAATAAAATTTAAGATAATTGCATTGGAAAATGCATATATGTTAATAGATGCATTGAAGTACTAAAAACGTGCTGCGGAATAATATTAGAGTAAGAAATTAGATAGTTAAAATTTAGTTATTACAATACAACTTTGGTATTTCAACTATTATATAATTTATTAGAACTATTTTATTATAAACATATTATTGCTTTTGATTTCATAGCACTCCAGCTAAACAACTGTTCTACGTTATTATGCTATCACGGCTATATTAAAATTCGAGACGAAATGAAATATAACTTCGTTACATAAAAATTGTTTCATATTTGTATAAAGACGTGCGGCGAAACCCGCGGGTAAAAGCTAGTATGCATATAAATTGATATCAGGAGAGCTGGCTGCTGAACAACGTGCTTCATATGACTTGAAATTTGGACAAAATTTTAACTAAAGTATATAGAAAACTAGCTTTTGCCCGCGGGTTTCACCCCACGCCAGAAGGAATTATAGGGGTCATGTGACTTGTGGTTACGAAGTTATACCACAAAATTCCAAGCCTACGTTAAGTGCTACGCCCCTTTTACAAACTCATTTATATATACCTTACTATAAGCACCTACCATAGATATGTCTGCATACCAAATGTTATGTTTATGTGACTTATGGTTCCGAAGTTATAACTGGCAAAATATTCCACGCCTTTGGGATTTGCCGCCCCTTTTCACAGTCTTATTTATATATATACCTTACAATAAGGTAATAAGCAAACAGACATTCACATTTATATATATAGATGAATTCAAGTTTGCCTGCCAATTCTTATGGTCTTAAAGTAATTCCAGCCTATGTTGAAAGTGCATTGTTGCAAGTATAAGTCAACATACTTCAGACATGGTGTCCGTGAGTGCGGGCGCGGGGGAGAAAACGTATATCGTTAAAATGCCATGGCGTATGAGTTATCTATCAACATCAATATTTAGCCCGGTTATGCTTCCAAGCTTGTGCTCATTCACCTCGGTTTGTTCTTTATTTGCAGATTTTTGCGAATAGTTGAAAATTCGTACAAACTTTTACGGAAATAAAAACAGTATTGCCTTTGTTTACGTAATTAACTAAATACAAAGAGAGAAATTTCTTAAAATTTTCCGCAGGCATTTCGGGAGGGGTTTGAACCCCCAAAACCCCTACCTGCGTTCGCCCCTGGATGCAAGGGTATGTATATAAGTTATATAATTCAGACGCATAAATTAATGAGTTTATTTTATTATTATAAAGTTATTTTTGATGCACTCAAATTAAAAAAAATATATACCATCTAATTTACAAAGTAATTTATAAATTTTATAAATTTATTAATTATCTAATTTCCAAGCAATCCAGCCTTTCAATTCAATACCTTTCACGACGATAGTACTATCGATACTATCGATGTTTTCAGCTATCGTTTCGAAAACTATCGAGTGGAGGTACTATCGATAGTATCCCAGCTCTAATCTATTCTGCACTCCAGCGGACATTTTGTAACCTTTGTAATTTTTACCACTTGTAACCGAAATTCTAAATGCATTGGTAATGCTGTCAATATATCAAAAAATTCAGCTATATATTTTTGTAGATATGCTATTATTGCACATGTTACGGAGCAATATCTTAATGCCAGCCAAAAAGGCCGTAGCAAACTTTACCGGTTACAAAAGTGCATAGCCTAAGTGCTTAAAAACTTACGGGAAATTTATTTGCCGGTTACAAAATGTTTCTATCTACGCAGAAATGTAATTACAAAAATGCTAAACGACATCTTTGCAAAATGACATAACTCCCAAAAGATTTTCACAGTTTCAATTCAACCATGAAAATTTATTAATGTATTTTATTTATGTGGTTTTAACTAAACTAGACTATATTGATATGTGTACTAAAGTTAAATTATAATATCATTCGAACAGAACTTTGAATATTTACTTCACGTTCACGCCAATTTCTAATTAATTAAGGATTGTGAAAGAATTCGCATAATATCAC